TCCTCCCCCTCCTCCTCCTCCTCCTGGCTCCATCATGGCCAGCTCTCCAGGGCGGACTCTAGGCCCCCCCGACGCCGTGCTCTTGTTGTTCGCAGCGTCGACCCCCAGAGGCCTGGACCCCGTGTCCGGGACTGGTGTTTCGTCCCGAATCGTTTCTATTGTTGACGGTCCCGAGGCCCGGTAGGGGCTCCCCGAGGACAAGAATATAGCGACAAGCCTCCCGCCGTGATTTTGTTCGCAACGTCGACTCCCAGATCCTGGGCCCATTCCCCGGTGTTTCGTCCTGAGTCGATTCTTGTTGACCGTCCCGAGGCCGGGTAGGGCCCCCCCGAGGCCGAACATGTAGCGATAGGCCTCCCACCGTGCTTGCTTCACGTCGCGAGGGGAGGAGAAGGAGAAGGAGAAGGAGAAGGAGAAGGAGGAGGAGGAGGAGGAGGAGGAGGGGGAGGAGGAGGAGGGGATGAAGGAGGAGGAGGAGGAGGAGGAAGAGGAGGAGGAGGAGGAGGAGGAGACGCCCCCAATGGAGGCCGCCCCCCGATGCTGAGCATGGCGAGGCACCTCCACCAGTCGTGACTTCTGCCACGGCTCGAGGGGGCCGGGGACCCCGGCCCAGGTGTCTCGGGGCGGGCGCAGCCGTGGCGGCTGGGAGCACCCCCCCTCCTCCTCTCGTCCTCCTCCTCGTCCTCCTCCTCTTCCTCATCCTCCTCCTCCTCCTCCTCCTCCTCGACCTCCTCCTCCTCCTCCTCCTCCTCCTCCTCCTCCTCCGCCGCTTCCTCCTCCTCCGCCGCCTCCTCCCCCCCGCAGGCCCCCGAGAAAGCACGGAGTACAGTATGGGGCTCGACCACAAAGAAACTTAGCTGCCCCGATCCGCAACACGCAACACGTATCGTATTGATTACGGAGCTCAGCACGAAGGCTGAGAACGCAGGTCCGACGCGGTGCGTTCGCCAAAACGTGGTCCAATACGCGAAGCCAGCACGCAACGTTTTGACGCGGACGTCTTGAACACGGGACGTGTTGCGTTTCAAAACGCGCGTATCGAGGCAACTAAGCAAAGAAGCTTTCCACAAGAAACCCAACCCTGAGACCACAGGACGTCCACCGATTTTTTCGTGTGGGTACGTCACGTTTCCCGCGGCAAGAGCATCGAAACCCAAGCATCCCAGGGCACCCTGGATGCAAACAGGGTGTTTCTGGGCTTGGGTTTCCGCTGTATGTCGGGGAGGGCCGCCGCTATATCTCCACCGGCACTCCTCCGCTCTTCTTCGCGCCGCCTGTCGTCCTCCGCGTCCTGGCCCGCGCTGGCGTGCGGGCAAAATCCCACCAGCCCTTGAGGGCGAGGGTGGCTTAGCGAGTTTCCTCTTCCATCGTCCCCCCTCCCCTTTGGCGCGGCTGGAGCCTGCGGCACACCTGCGCACGTGAAGCACGTGGCGCATCTGGCGCTCCGGGCGTACCTGGCACGCTCGGGCCCTGACCTCTCCCCCATATCCCCTGCGTCTGGGCTTGGAGGGAGCTTTCCGCGAGGCGTTGTGGCGTCCAAGATGTCCTCGGCGATGAAGCCAACATCACTGATGTTACCAAGGTTTTCGCCACAGTTTGGCCTTCTGGGGGGGGACCCTCATTAAGCAACCCCCTCGTTTGATCGATCGCCCCCAAGATGGCCTCAAGATGGCCCGCGGGGCTCCCAAGGGTGCCCCAAGACGGCCCCTAGGGGTGCGCAGGAGGCCCCCAAGAGGCCCCCAATGGCACCCAAGAGGCTCCCAAGAGACCTCCAAGAGGCCCCCCAGAGGCATTCAAGACGCCCCAAGAGGCCTCGGCGAGAAGGCCAACGTAATTGACTTCACTCAGTTTGGCCTCCTGGGGGGTGGCCCCGAGGCTCCCAAGGGTGCCCCAAAACAGCCTTAGGTTAGGGGGTGCCCAGGAGGCTCCAAGAGGTCCCCAATATGCCTCCAAGAGGCTCCCGAGAAACCCCCACGAGGCCCCAAGAGGCCCCCCAGCCGCCCCAAGAGGCCTCGGCGAAAAGGCCAAACTCTTTGAGTGTACTACGAGTTGGGCCACAACTTGGCCTCCTAGGGGGGGGGGCGAATTCACTACGGCCGCTCCGTTGATCGATCTCCCCCACGATTGCCCCAAGATGGACTCCGAGGCTTCCAAGAGAGACCCAGGAGGGCCCCAAGAGGCGCCCAGGAGGCCCCCAAGATGCCCACGAGATGCCTCCAAGAGGCCCCCAAGAAGCGCCCAAGAGACCCCGCAAGAGGCCCGAAGGGGCTTCCCCGAGGCACCCGAGACACTTCAAGACCCGGAGACCCCTCCACGAGTCCCCCAAGAGGCGCCAAGAGGCCTGCAAGAAGCTCTCACGAGGATCCGAAGAAACTACGAGAGGCATATAAGAAGCGTCTGGCCTTTCTGCTCGCCCTCCTCCTCCTTGTCCTCCTCCTCCTCTTCCTTATCCTCCTTATCCTCCTCCTCTCTCCCCCCTACTCCGCCATCCCTCCACAGTTACTCAACATGACTACTACTCTGTCCAGAGAGTGTCCCGTCCTCTCCGCGCATTGCTTGTTACACACAAGACTGCATTATTTGATGTGTCACATGTGTCTTTTCAATCCTGTCGTTTCGGGCTCTTCCAAAATGGTGTTCCCGCTGCAACGCCGCTGCAACGCCGCCCTCATTTCCGCGTCTCGGTCATTCAAACTCGTGCTCCCGCTGCAGCGCTGGCCTCGTTCCCGCGCCTCCGGGCGGCACTTGGCATTCGGAAGCGCCCACATCGGGCAGGCACTGTTGCGGAGGACATGGAGCCATGTCCTCTCGTAGACGGGCCACTTACCCTCAAATCAAGTCATCCCGTGCCATGCCACGGCATGCAATGCGATGCTGTGTTGTGCACCGCTGTGCTTTGTGATGCAATACTTCACTACACAATGCCACGCCATGCTATGACATGTTATGCTCTGCCGTGCTCTTCTACGCCATGCTTTTGCATCAATCGCGTACCCTCTTGGGATCCTTGCCGCTCGATATCCGACTGTGCGAATGGGTCAGAGATCTACGCCATGGTAAAGGATGGGAGAGAGGGGTAGGACGTCAGATGTGACGCTAGCGCACCTAGCTTGCCCCCCTCCCCCTCCGCCTCCCCCACCTCCTCTGGTACCTCCTCCATCCCCCACCTCTTGGGGCATGATGGCTCCCCATCCTTTACTCCACTATTCCACTGCGTGCTCCCCCGCATGCCTGATCAGGGCAACTCGCCTTGGCATCGTTTCTGGATGGGCTGGTGAGGTTACGCGAAGCGTCTGGAATGTATATCCACATCCGCTGCGTCTCAAACTTGCGGAATCCCGACCCACACACGTTGAAGACGCCGGAGATAGTGACTGTGCTCCCGCCCGAAGTGTCCGTTCCGGGGGAGGGGGGGGGGTCGGGCCTGTGAGCGCTACAGCATGCATTGTGCGCAACATAGCATGCATGTGAGCACCGCGCCATGCCTGAGGGGGAACCGCCCTCCCCCCCTCCGCGTACGCTCGGTACCATTAAGGGGAGGGGGCGGAAAGAGGTAAGGGGCGGCGATCCCCTAGTAACGGACGTTACGTGTTCACCAAAGAGAGAATAAAACAATCTCGTACGGGCGACGGACAAAAAAACGTATCTCATGCGAGATGACAGCGACCTTCCGCGGCGGCTCACGCAGGCTGCCAGCGTGGCACGCTATATTCGAAACAAACGCCCATGCGCAACCTTACGCGGGCAGCTTTCGCGGCGCCCATGTCGGTGAAAACGACCCCGCTTTTTCTGCGCCGTTCAGAATTGTTCCACGACAAAGCGCACCGATCATCCAGCCCCTC